CGGTTACCATCGGGCCTCCGGGAACTCCCTGCTGCACTCTGACCCGCCCTGGCCCTGATCCTCTTCTGCGTCTCAGACCAGAAAGGAAGGAGGCGTGAGCAGCGCCAGCTCCATCTTAGCTGTGAGGTTTAATGACAGCCTGGAAGTGATACGGTGACGCGCAGGACCTCGCTGTACAGGAGGGGAATTATACACAACACAGGGACATGAGCGCCATCCTGGAATGAAAGGAAGGCTTGACATTAGGAAATCCATTCATATAATTCATCTCATTCATACACTCAGGAAGAAAAGGCATACTGTCACCTCTATAGAGACAGAAAAGCAGGCGATAAATCCAACAGCCATTACCCATGAAAGAAAAACAGCCATCAAAGAACTCCTTTATCACCAGGGAGCCGCGAAGACCTTTCTAATTATGCTTCAAAATCCAAAAGTCAAAAAGAAGATATTGATAATTCAATAGCCCAAAAATCTCAGTCAACCAAACAAACAACCTATTAATAACAACATGCTATCAAACATGCTATTAATAACACGCCATTAATAACAACATGCTATCAAAGTCCAAAGGAAAAAAAATATTTGCAACTTGTATCACAGTCCATCGCCCAAACCTATCAGATGCTTATAAAAATTGGAAAGACAACAATAAATGATTTAAAAATAGACAAAGAGGGGCTGGGAAGGTGGCTCAGTGGTAGAGCGCTTGCTTGCATGAGGCCCTGGGTTCGATTCCTCAGCACCACATAAGCAGAAAAAGCTGGAAGTGGTGCTGTGGCTCAAGGGGTAGAGCGCTAGCCTTGAGCTGAAGAGCCGAGGGACAGTGCCCAGGCCCAGAGTTCAGGCCCCACAACCGACAAAAAAAGTCAGAAGAAGAGGCATGGCTCCAGTGGTAGAGCACTATCCTTGAGCAAAGAAACTAAGCAAGAGTGAGAGGCCCAGTAGTGGCATACACACACGCATGCACGTGCACACGTGCACACGCACACAGCATGTGGATAAATTCTGGAGGCTTGCAGAAAAGAGTTTTTGTAACACAAACAGCACAGATTTCTTAGCTGCTGCTGGGAGGAACTTGCACTGGGCCCCTGCCCCCGCTGAGGAGCCCGGAAGTGCTGATGTAACCGGAAGACCTGCCCTTGCTCCCGGGGGCTGAGAACCGCACTGCCGAACTGGAAGGTAATGGGAAGGTGAGGTGGCCCTGACTTCCCAGCGGCTCCTTGGGCATCATTGTCACTCAGGCACAGAGGGAAGTGAGGCCACAGAACAGGAGCCAGGATCTGAGCCCTTGGAGAGCCAACCTGCCAGTGTGCACCCAGGAGAGAGCACCTTGGCAGAGCCCGGCTGTGACCGGGAAAGAAGGGGGGGGGGGGTCATGTTTGATGGTGATGATAATGGCGGTGATGATGGTGGTGATGGTGGTGATGTGGTGATGGTAGTGGTAGCAAGTGAAGGATAATGATGGCTACAAAGTTTATCATCAGTCTCATGCATCTTACTCTTCCCATTCCAGAGATAAGGACACTGGAGTTCAGAGGAAGGAAGTTCTAAGGTCTTTGGAAACAAACCTGACTCCTATAGTTTTGTGGGTTTTTTGTCGGTCGTGGGGCTTGAACTCTGGGCCTGGGCGCTGTCCCTCAGCTCTTCAGCTCAAGGCTAGTGCTCTTATGCCACTTGAGCCACAGCGCTACTTCTGGTTTTCTGGTGGTTTATTGGAGATAAAGAATCTCACAAAGTTTCCTGCCCAGGCTGGGTTGGAGCCGTGATCCTCAGATCTCAGCTTCCTGAGTAGCTAGGATGACAGGCGTGAGCTACCGGTGCCCCGCCAAGTTTTAACTTTTTTAAATCAAAGTTTTGTTATTTATAGTCATTAAAATTTCATATATTTTCCTAGCCATAAAGAGATGTGTTATCAAAGAATTGCCTTACATTCTGCCTCTTGGTGAGTGGATCGCATATAGAGGAATCTTTTGATTTTAGCTGGAATCATAATCAAATAAGTTGATGTTTGGTTACATTGTGTCTGTGCGCCCGCACCAGTCCTGCGGCTTCAACTCAGAGCCTGGCGCAGCGTCTGCTCAAGGCTGTCACTCTATGTTTGAGCCACAGCTCTACTTCCATCTTTTCTTTTGGTGGTTAATTGGAGATAAGAGTCTCAATGGACTTTCCTTCCTAGGCTGGCTTTGAACCCTAATCCTCAGATCTCAGCCTCCTGAGTAGCTGGGATTCCAAGTGTCAGTCACCCTTGGCTAGTGTTTGTTTACTGGATGGGAATCTTTAGCTGAGAGTCAACTAGTATGGTGATTCTGGTTCAGAGTAATGGTTCCTCCTTATATACTCTTAATGGGGTGCCCCAGAGGCCTCAGTGACTAAAGCTGAGGCAGCCACCATGTTCCCCAAGGCTCCCCTCCATGCTCCCGGACGCCCTCCCTGCTCCCTAAGCCCTCCCTCCCTGTTCTCCACTCCCCCTCCCCTCCATCTTTAGAAATGGACAGCCTGGGCCCAGGTGAGCCTGGGCCTGGGAAGTGACGCAGTGCCGGGTGTGACCACCAGGTGGCGGAGCAGCTGCACCAAGCCCTGCCCCCAGCAGTCCCAGAAAACCAGAAAATGGAGATTAAAAATTCCTTGGCCTGGAAGCAGAAAATCAGTTGGAGATTCCAGGCGCCTTCTGGCAAATCTGGGAGGTTTGACCTTCCACTCTGGGCAAAGCCTGAGTGTGTCCGTGACAGGCAAAGGGCAGGAAAGAAGAAACGAATTGTAAAAGCAGATGGAAGACGGAAGGAGAAAAGAAAACATATTCCTTCTTAGATGCCTGGGTTTCCAGCCCCAAGAAGCCCAGAAACTCTCAGTGTGAACCGGGGTCCCAGGGCAGTAGCCCTGTGCAATTGGTCACTGCCGGTAGTTCCTGGTCCATGCTAAGGTTTGCAAACACCCACACACCACCACTTAATTTTACAGACTAGAATCCGGAGTCAGGGAAGGGGGAGAAGATGGCGTCCACTGCTGGGCCTGGTGGCTCAAGCCTGTCATCCTAAATACTTGAGAGGCTGAGATCTGAGGCCAGCTGGGTCATCAAAGTTTTTGAGACCCTATTTCATGCCATGGCTGGGTGTGGTAACTTATAGCTCTTACCCTAGCTGCAGGGGAAGCACGGGTAGGAAGATTGCTATCGAAGCCTGCCTGGGCACAATATGGAACCTTAAAGATAACCAAAGTAGCCAGGGGCTGGTGGCTCACCCCTGTAATCCTAGCTACTCAGGAGGCTGAGATCTGAGGATCGCGTTTCAAAGCCAGCCCGGGTAAGGAAAGTCTGTGAGACTTTTATCTCCAATAAACCACCAGAAAACCCAAAGTGGTACTGTGGCTCAAGTGGTAGAAAACTAGCCTTGAGCTGAAGAGCTGAGGGACAGCGCCCAGGCCCAGAGTTCAAGCCCCATGACCGACAAGAGAAAATAAAAAATAACCAAAGCAAAACAGGGCTAGAGGGGTGGCCCAGGTGGCAAGGCTTCTGCCTAGCAAGCATGAGATCCTGAGTTCAAATCCCTGTACTCCCTACATCAAATAAATTACCCCCAGTGTCCAGTCCCTGTGAGGACAGAGCTGACACAGGGTTGAGATTCGGCCTTCGGCTGTTTAGCTGTAGCTCTGCCCAGTGAGGCCCTCTGCCCCGTGGCCTCCTGAGCTTCTCCTTGGCCTGCCTCTCTCCCATCTGTCTCTGTTTGCTATTTTAAAATCCATAATGACTTCCTGCCCAGAGAGGCAAAGTCAGGAAGGAGCCTGGGCTCTGAAACCCAGGTCTAGGATCCCGGCTCCCCGGCTTCCTGGAGAGCTGCCATCTTGGCTGATGGAGTGGTTCTCGGCAGTGCAGAGTTCGGGAGCCCTCCCAGTACTTCTACCTTGGTCGTGGTGACACTGGAAATGGAGGATAGCAGCAAGGGCCTGCCCCTTTCTCCCACACCCTGGCAGGGGACGTGGGGCTGGTCCACCTGCTGATCACATCCTAAAATCCAGCTCTTAGCTGAGATTTTTTTTTTTTTTCCTCCATGACAGGCTGGAAGGCCATTCAGCAGCCATCCAGAAGCTTTGCTGTGTGACCTTGGCAAGTTGCCTACCCTCACTGAGCCTTGATCTCCTTGTTAGAGGGCATTGACCCCATTTCTCCCATCAGCTATGAGGAAGAAATGCCATCAGGCAGGTAGCCCTTGGTGCCTGAAGGAACTGTTACCAAGAGGCTGAGACGCAGGGCTGCGTCACCCCTCCCATGCCTACTACTGAAGCTGGGCTGGCCTCGGGCTGTGGGCATTTCCCTTCTGCCCAGTTATTGGGTTCCAGCTTGCCATGAAATGGTTTCCATGACTACCAGGAGGAAGCTTCCAGTCCACAGCCTTAGCATAGAAGACTTCTCGACAGGGGCCTATAGCTCATGCCTGTAATCCTAGCTGCTCAGGAGCCTGAGATTGGGAGGATTGTGGTTTTTAGCCAGCCTGGACAGAAAAGTCCATGAGAATTCTTACCTCCAGTGAACAGCAAAAAGTCCACCTGGAGGTGTGGCTCAAGTGGTAAAGCACCAGCCAAGAGAGCACGCCAAGTGAAAGCAAGGCCCTTAGTTCAAACCCCAGCACCATCTCCCCGCGCCCTCCCCCAAACACACAAAAAAACGTAGCTTCTGTCTGCAGGCTGGTCTGGTCACACCGGAGGAGGAGAGCCAGGGAGACAGGCCCTGACCGAGCTGATAGGCTTCAGCCAGGGTGGTTCTGGGTTAGGCCGATGGTGCCCTGATCACACCAGATCACACAGAAGGTTCAAAGTGTGAGGTGAGCAGGTGTTGTGCGTCCAGCACTGAGGTTAAACGTTAACGGGACACTCTTTCCAGGACCACTGTAACTCAGTAACGGCCTGGCCCTGGTGTGACCTTTTAAAAACCTTTACCCTCTTGGTGCTGGAGCAGCCAGAAGATGGCCGGGCCCTGCTCAGTCTTGGTTGGAGGATGGCTGGGTGTGGTAGATGTGGGGGTGGGGGGCCGCAGTGGAGACTCTCCCTGATACCCCCCGGAGCATGCTGGGATGTCTTCTAGAGACAGTGGGCACGCTCCCTGATGCCCGCCCCTCTCCCAGGGCATGCTGGGATGTCTTCTAGAGACATCAAAGCCTTCCAGAGAACCTGGGGACTGTCATCCTGCTGGTGTGGGGACGGTGGCCACTGAGAGGCTCAGCCAAGGCCTGGGGTCTGGTTCCAGGCAGGCGAGGCCCTGGCCTGCACCCTGGGCGCCAGGGGCAGCCAGGGCATGGCGTTTGAGGAGCTGTTGGAGCGTGCTGGTGGCATGGGCCTCTTCCAGGTGCTCCAGTTGGCCATACTGTTCCTCCCATCCCTCTTCACCCCTCCGAACCTGCTGCTGGAGAACTTCTCGGCCGTCAGCCCCAGCCACCGCTGCTGGACCTCCGTGCTAGACAATAGCTCCCAGATCCCCGCCAATCTCACCCCGGAGGCCCTCCTGGCCGTGTCCATCCCCCTCGGTCCTGACCAGCAGCCCCATCGCTGCCGCCGCTTCCGACACCCCCAGTGGCAGCTCCTGGACCCCAACAACACGGCCACCAACGGGAGCGAGGCTGGCACAGAGCCATGCATGGACGGCTGGGTCTACGATTACAGCACCTTCACCTCCACCATCGTGACCACGGTAAGCCCCCCTCCCTCCCCGCTGGTCTCGTGTGACAAGGGGTGTGTCATTTATTCTTGTTAAAAAATAATCCCTATAGGTCCCTGTGGTTCACGCCTGTGATCCTAGGTAGTCAGGAGGCTAAGATCTGAGGATCACGGTTCAAAGCCAACCCGGGCAGGACTCTTTGGTTGAATTAATCAGCAAAAACCAGGAGTGGAGCTGTGGCTCAAGCAGTAAGTGCTAGCCTTGAGCACAATGCTGAGGGACAGCGCCCAGGCCCTGAGTTCAAGTCCCAGTATCTGTGTTCACGTCTTGCATAACTCCCACCCACCCACCCAAACACGCACACACGCAATCTGGTGACACGAAGGACATCACAGGCAGAAGACTCCATTCAGGGCCCTGGAGATGGGCACAGGGACCACTGCCTGGGCTGAGGTGCCCGGGCACCTTGTAACCATGGAGCAGAAGCAGAGGAGTCTCAAGGGCTGGAAACCAAGGAAGGTTCAGCCACCAGAGGTTTTTGCTTAAACCAGGCCTACTGAGACTGCCACTTTCTTCAGGGTGGAGGGGGATGATGAGCCCCCACTGGGGTGAGATAGAAGTTGGGGGGGGGGGACATTGAAGCACACAGAGCAGCCAGTGTTTTGTGGTGCTTGTTTTGTTGGTCATAGTTCTTGAACTCTGGGCCTGGGCGCCGTCCCTGAGCAATTCAGCTCAAAGCAAGCTCTCTACCACTTGAGCCACAGTGCCACTTCTGGTTTTCCCGTGGTTCACTGGAGATGAAAGTCTTACGGACTTTCCTGCCTGGGCTGGCTGTGAGCCACGATCCTCAGATCTTAGCCTCCTGAGTAGCTAGGATTATAGGTTGAGCCGCCGGTGCCCAGCTCCAGCCAATGTTTTGAATCGTTCATTGTGTAATTCCTGGCTGGGAATTGGGCTGGGGATGAGGGATGGCAGAGGGGGCCACAGGACATGTCCCAGCCATTCTATCAGCATTTCAGCTTGTAACACGGACACAAGTTAACCCTCACCCACACCCACCTGGCGCCTTTCGGGTGGCGGGCACTGTCCTGTGTGTTTGCCTGCTGGTCTCAACCTCACGCACGTGTGTGGTGTGGTTGTATCTCTGTTTACTATGGACCGCACGTATTGTGTCCTTGTGGTCTGCCACCAGACCCCTTAGCCTCCACCGTTGCCACTAGAAACCTAGGGGGTCTCATGGCGGACGGCTGGGGATCTCAGCCTGTCCTCTAGCCCCATGGCTCCCAACGGTCACACCTCCTGTTCCAGTGGGACCTGGTGTGCAGTGACCAAGGCCTGAAGCCCCTGGGACAGTCCGTCCACATGATGGGGTTACTGACGGGGACCTTCGTCTGGGGTATCCTGTCTTCCCGGTGAGTGTTCCCGCCCCCCCCCCCCCCCAACGACATTGCAGAAGCATGGAAGTGAGCCATGATGTTCCCCGAAAGAGCAGCTACCTGGCTCTGTCTCCTGGGGGGCAGAGACTCCCCAGGCCCTGATGTGGATGGGTGGGGAGGGGACCTGAACCTGGGTATGTGGCAGCTGGATTGTGAGAAAATCAAACTCGGAGTGTCAGAAACAGGTTGTCCCCTTCCTTACCACCAATAGACAGCACCCCAGGAGCCAGAAATCAGAGGCCCTGGAGCAGGATGGCAGGAGGGGGGGGGGGGCCTTGAAGGGTGACTGGGATTGGACAGAGGAGGACTCCAAGTCAACAGACACTCACGCGTGTCTCTCGGGCTGGGTTAAGCTGTTCCTGTCCCTCTGAAGATGCCGGTCCCTGTGTCTCTCAGCTGCTGGCCGTGTCTCCCTTACCCTGAGGCGGCATCTCTCATCTGCCCATCCTCAGGCTGGTTCAGGTGTGCCCCACATGGCTGGGTAGGAGAGTGGAGGCCGGTCCTGCACTGGAGTCCCAGCCCTGTGTGTGCAAAGGGACAGACCCCGTCTCCCACCCCAGCCTGCCCCCCCCCCCCCCCCGTTTCTCCTCTCCCCAACAATCCACAGATGTGCAGGCTTGCCCTTCCCCCTCCTTCCCCGCCCCCCTCCTCCACCTTCCTAGGTGAAGAGCCAGGACTCAGTCCAGAACCTTCCACACCCTCCTCCACCCAGGACAGATAAAGTGCAAGTTACCCCTCCCCTCACACCCTGCCAGATTGCCCACCTGGGGCTCGAGTCCTGTGCTGGTCCCTGAACTGCAGGCCCCTCCCATGCCGACCCCCTCCAGACTCCATCCACAAAGCCGTCCCCCATTTGGATGCCCCCCCACCCCCTGGTCTTCTTCGCTCACCCTGGTCCCACTTTCCCCTGGAGGTCTCTCCAAGCCTACCAGTCCCCACCCCTACCTGGAGGCCCCACCTCCCCAAAAGGAAGTCCCCCCCAGGAAGTCCCACCTCTCACAGGCAGCCCTAGCCCCTCCTGGAAAGCCCCACCTTCTCTAGGAAGCTCCACCCCCACCCTGGACGGGAGCTCCCCCTCGGCCAGGAAGTTCCACCCAGCCCTCCTGCTGCACTGCTCAGTCCCTCAAACCTGGAGGTGGGCCTGGTCGGTGACCCCCTCCCCACCAACACGCCTCAGAGACACCGTGGCAGTGAGGATAGTCCCCTGCCTGCCGGTCTCCAGCCACACCAGCCTCCTCCCTGACCATAGGGCTCCATGGTGGCCAGACTGCCTAGGGGCTGCTACATGGCCTGCCCCTAGACACCAAGCCCTGCACCTCCTCAGAGAGGTCCTCACCCAGGCTGCCCCCCCCCCTCCCCCAGTGCTTTGCTCAGCCAGTCCAGGCTGGCTTGCTCATTGTCTGGGTCTCTGTGGCAACAGGAATGTGGGGCCAGTGCAGCACCTGGCGGGTGGTGACACCCCATCATTATTTTGTCAAGGCACGAGTGGCCCAACACGCTTGGACCTCCCCAGCCACAGCACAGCACAGCACAGCCCAGCCCAGCCCAGCCCTGCCCAGCCCAGCCCAGCCCAGCCCAGCCCAGCCCAACACAGCCCAGCACAGCCCAGCACAGCCCAGCCCAGCCCAGCCCAGCCCAGCCCAGCCCAACACAGCCCAGCACAGCCCAGCACAGCCCAGCAGAGTTGGGGATCCCCACATTAAAAATCGCAGCATTACCCAGTCCAGCCTGCCCCTGGGAGCACAGTGTCTTCCCTTCCCTGTGCCTCAGTTTCCCCACCAAGGGGGCACCTCCTGTGTGGTTACTGTGGGGATGAGGTGAGTTAACCCAGACAGCTGGGAGGTAGCCTGGCACAGTCAGCTGCCATGGTGATGTCGTTGGAGCGTGGCGGGAGCCTGAGCGGCAGGGATGGGGTCCAGTCTGCATTTTAGGGGACTGAGCAGCTGCCATGTATCGATTACTGTCCATCACTCAGTCCTGCTGCCCATCCATGCGCAAAGCCAAGTGGCGATCGGTCTGTGAGTCATGGGATAAGCCTGGGGTCTGGGCTGAGGTCAGACGGCAGACTTAACCCTGGATCTGGGCTGGCTGTCCCGCTCTCCTGAGCACTGCACACACGGGCCAGGCACGTCTGGCCAGCAGGCCAGAGGAGCACGGATGAGCTCGTGGTGAGCTGGGGCGCCAGGCCAGAGGCTCTGCCCGGGCCTGCAGGACGTCTGTCCCCATGCACAGGGGACGGGGGCTGGCTTTTCCGAGGTCACGTGCGCGTGGCCTCTGTGGTAGACTGCCTCTTTGCTTAAGGTTTTGATTTCAGGAACCATGAGTCGTGGCCATCTGAAGACCTGGTCATATAGCCAAGGCAATCTAGGCAGGGCAGAGCCAGATTCAAATCCAGTCTTTGCTCTTGACCACAAGGCTGCATTAACTCTGAGAGCAAGGTCCTCACTGTTTTGATGACAGAAGCACTCTATGTGTACTCCTAGCAGCTCCTAGAACCTTCTAGAAGCTCCTTCCAGAAGTTTCTGGAAGGTTCTAGCATGAGAGGATTAGCCTGCCCTCCCCACGCACCTGCTGTGTGCATTGTCCCTGGGTCTCCTCCACAGGTTAGGGCGTAAGCCAATGCTGACCTGGTGCTGGCTACAAACTGGTGTGGCTGGCACCAGCACTGTCTTTGCCCCGAATTTCCCCATCTACTGTGGCCTCCGGTTCCTGAGTGCCTTCGGGCTGAGCGGCAGCATCCTGATCACAACCACGCTGAGTGAGTCTCCCATGCCTCACCCGCTCTGGGAGGGTGGGTAGGGGGAGAAGAGGAGCCAGACTCTCAACTCTCATGGGCACCTCTGCATTGCCTTACAGTAGCCGAGTGGACCATAACCCGCTGGAGAGCTGCTGCCATGACAATTCAGTGCTGCACCTACAGCATGGGCCAGATGGGCCTGGCCGGCCTGGCGTTCGCCCTGCGGGACTGGAGAGCCCTCCAGCTGGCTGTGTCGGTGCCCTTCCTGCTCATCTCCCTGATCTCATGGTCAGTGCGGTGGGGAGTCTCTTCCCAGGGGAGACCTGGGGCAGAGGGGACAGGGTCCCTGCCTCCCACTGCCTGACAGTCCACGGTCTCGACACACAGAAGGACGGTGACATCTGTATACCTAATTCTCAGGTGAACATTTCAGCCAGAGGCCTGGGCACCATCCAGCCTGGACAGGCGCCCACGGCTCAACTAATGATGTGAAAAAGGAAAAGAAAAGAAAAAAAAGTAGTGAACAATGCTGGAAACCCAGGAGATATTTTAAAACAAAACCAAAGACAAACACTATTTTGACCTTTTCTGGAAAGAAACAAGACATTCCCAGGACACAGGGCCACTCCCACAATGGCCTCTGTCACCTCTGTGGTGGCACACTGTCATGTGCCACAGGCCCGCCCTCCCCATCATCCGGATCTCTGCAGTGACATTGGATGTGAGAATTTGTCACTTATTTGGAGTCCTACAAACCAAGCAAACAAACCCTATGGTTTGGAAAACCCTGTTTGCATGTGGAAGGGGGAAGGGACTCCAAGAGAGACGCGCAGCTGAATGTCACCCTAAGGTCACTAGTGCACAGGAGCTGGAGCCCAGCGGTGCAGGGTGGGGTGTGGAGAATGACAGGTCCCTGTAAGGAAACTGAGTCACGAGGGTATCAGAATAAACAGGGCAGAAAGAGGACTCCACAGGCCAACAAGCTTTTATTCAGGAGTGAAACCTGTAAGAGCAACCAAGTCTCCTACAGCCTGGCTGAAGGGGAAATGGCATGTGTGCACGTGTGCGTACTCGCGCGCGCTCACACACACACACACACACACACACACACCCTTGCAACTAGGGCTGTTTAAATATCAGGTAGAGTGAAGTGGGTTGAGATGGAGGTGGTGATGAGCAACATTTTTTTTTTCTTTTGGTCGGTTGTGGGGCTTGAACTCTGGGCCTGGGCACTGTCCCTGAGCTCTTCAGCTCAAGGCGAGCGCTCTACCACTTAAGCCACAGCGCCACTTCTGGTTTTCTGGTGGTTCATTAGAGATAAGAGTCTCACAGACTTTCCTGCCTGGGCTGGCTTTGAACCAAGATCCTCAGATGTCATCCTCCCAAGTAGCTAGGATGACAGGGTGAGCCAACGGCGCCCAGCATCCCCGAGCTTCTTTTGCAAAAGCCTCTACCACTTGAACCACAACTCTACTTCCAGCTTTTTTTTTGTAGCTTATTAGAGATAAGTGTCTTAGAGACTTTTCTGCTAGGGGGTTGGCTTTGAACTGTGATCCTCAGATCTCAGCCTCCTGAATAGCTAGGATTACAGGTATGAGCCACCAGTGCCTGGCTTGAGGATCTGTTAAATGAGCTGAGAAAAAAAGTGTGTGTGTGTGTGTGTGTGTGTGTGTGTGTGTGTGTGTGTTTGAGAGAGAGAGAGAGATGGGGGGAGGGAGGGAGGGAAGGAACCCAGCACTGTGTGGGTGGCCTGGCACCCATGGGAGTACTCTAAGCCTCCCAGCATGGCCTCTACAGCCCAGAAGGGAACGGCTGGACTCCTGGCCATGGCCCCAGAGGCCCCCCGTGCCCCCTTCCTCTCCTTCCCCCTCCTTCCTCCCCCCCCCCTGCACAGAGCGCAGGTCCAGCCCCTGCATCCTTCACAGGTGGCTGCCAGAGTCCGCCCGATGGCTGCTCATCAAAGGCAAACCAGACCAAGCCCTTGGGGAACTTCAAAAAGTGGCCAGGATCAACGGCTGCAAGGAAGCCCAGAAGACCCTGACCATAGAGGTGAGCCGGTAGCGGGAGCCGCGGGAGGTGAAGCGGTGCAGAGAGGAAGCGCTGCCAGCCACACCCGTCCCCACCAGCGCACAGAGGCCGCGGCAGTGCCTGCTGCCTGCAGTTCCAGCTTGGAGTGTATTAGCCATGCAGGGTGCTCTCGGGGAGCTGTTTCAAGGGAGGGGGGAGGGAGGAAGCCACAGGGTGCTTTTGGGGATAGAGACTGGTGGGGGGGCTTCCAGGAGGAGGCAAGCAAGAGGGGAGGGGACTAAACTGAACCCAGGGCAGGTCTGCGGAGGGCCAGAGGAGCAGATGGACTGAGGGAACTCTTGGGGAGCATTGGGGAGCCTGGAGCCGGCCTGTGGCAACCTCTGGTGCCATCTCTGAGGGATGAGGAGGGGTGGTGGCGTTTTGTGGGGTTCCTGCTGGGTTCCCGCAGCTCAGTGGCCTGAGCCAGGCCAGGGGCTCCTCCTCTTCCCAGCCTGGGGGTGGGGGGAGGCTGGGGGGAGGCAGGGGCCCCACACCAGCCCCGGGCGGGGGGGGGGGGGCAGACCTCCTCATTCCTGTGCGCGCCTGCGCCCCTGTCCCCCAGGTGCTCAAGTCCACCATGGAGAAGGAAATGACCTCTGGGGAGGCTCAGCGGACGCTGCTGGACCTGTTCCAGGTGCCCATACTGGTCAGGAGGATATGGGTCATGTCCATGGTGAGGTGCGTTGCCTGGGAGTCAGGACAGCATTTGTGGGGTGACGGCATGTCCTCCGGACCCCAGTGGAGCCGAGGAGGCCAGGGACTACCTCCCCCCACCGCCCCTGCACTAGCCTGGAGCTGAAGAGCTCGGGGACAGCGCCCAGGCCCAGAGTTCAAGCCCCATGACCGACCAAAAAAAAAAAAAGAATCAGGATCCGGCTGGGTAGTGGTGTCTCACGCCTGTAATCGGAACTACTCAGGAGGCTGAGATCTGAGGATTATGGCTTCAAAGCCAGCCCAAGCAGCAAAGTCCATGAGACTCTTGTCTCCAAAAAGCCAGGAGTAGAGCTGTGGCTCAAGTGGCAGAGTGCCAGCCTTGGGGGTGGGGGAGGGGGGAAGAAAAGGCTGAGTGAGAGCATGACACCCTGAGTTCAAGTCGGGTACAGAACACAACCAACAAAAACACCAAAAACCAAGCTAAAACATCTTCCAGAGAGGCGGCGCTGTGGCTCAAGGTGGTAGAGCACCAACCCTGAACAGAGAGTGTGTGTGTGTGTGTGTGTGTGTGTGTGTGTGTGTGTGTGTGTGTGTGTGTGTGTGTGTTGGGGGGGAGAAGCTAAGAGACAGTGCCCAGGCCCTGAGTTCAAGCCTTACAACCAAAAAAAACCCCAAAAAACAAAAAACAAGCTGGGCACCAGTGGCTCATGCCTGTCATCCTAGCTACTCAGGAGGCTGAGATCTGAAGATCAAGGTTCAAGGCCAGCCCAGGCAAGAAAGTCTGTGAGACTCTTATCTCCAGTGAACCACCAGAAAACTGGAAGTGGTGCTGTGGCTCAAGTGGTAGAGCGCTAGCCCTGAACTGAAGAGCTGAGGGACAGCGCCCAGGCCCAGAGTTCAAGCCCCATGACTGACCAAAAAACCAAAAATCCTTTAAGCCTCTGGTCCTCCCAGGGGCTACCCAACATCCTTTGTTATTTAAATCAGAAGCGCCTTGATGCCTCTTACCCTGTAGGTTTCCAGGAACCAGAGACCTGGCCTGCTTGGGCTCCCACAGAGCTGTTGCTCCTCTACTGACAGAAACTTCACTACACACCGGGGCACTGGGTACCGGTACCTGCAGACATTGCCTGTCCCCCACACCTGTCAGGGGTCTGGTCTACGGAGTGAAACCATCAGGGACTGCAAGAGGGACCAACTGAAAAGTGCAGGGACGGGGACAGATTTTCCACTGTGGTTAGAGCAGAGCCTGGGAGCTCATGCCTGTAATCCTAGCTACTTGGGAAGCTGAGATTAAGATGGATGACTTTAGAGGCCAGCCCAGGAAGACAGTTGAGGAGAGTCCCCAACTCCAACTCACCCCCTGACCAATCTTAAGAGGAAAAAAAGAATCTGGGTGTGGTAGTGTGTATTTATGAATCCCAGTCACTCAAGGAAGCAAAAATAGGAGGATCACAGTCCAACCTAGCCCAGGCATAAATGTAAGACCCTATCTGAAAACAAAACAAAACAAAAACAAAAAGGCTTGGAAAATGCAAGATCTTGAATTCAAAACCTGTCACCAGGTCTCAGCTGAGGACAGTGCTCTTAGGGGTGGAGGACTAAGTCTTTCCATCCTGATGGGGCCTGGGCAGCCCAGCATGCCCCGCTCAGCCCCCATTGCTCTTCCTCCAGGACTTTCCAAGCATATCTGGGAAGCAAGGCAGAGGAGCTACAGCAGCTGCAGAGCAGCTCAGCTGACCCTCCGAGGTCTGAGGGCAGCCTGGGGGCTCTCCCCACAACCAATGTGGGGATGGCTGTGGCTGTCACTCCCCGCCTCCCCCCCTTTCCTAGATTGAGCTTGACCCTGGGCGACGGGCCTTGCACTTCACAGGTTGCTGGGGGGCCTGGCCACCGCTAGCTCTGACAGGTGGCCTGGTGGAGGTGGCGTGGTGGGCTGGCGTCCCTGTTCTCTGTGGCAGTGACCCAACCCCTGGCTCTGCCCTGCAGCGTCTGCATACAGCTGTCCTACTACGGGCTGGTCCTGGACCTGCAGAGCCTGGGCCGGGACCTCTTCCTCCTGCAGGCCCTCTTCGGAGCCATAGATATCGTGGGCCGGGTCACCTCTATCCCCATGCTCAGCCTCCTGGGCCGCCGCATGACTGTGGCCAGCTTCCAGGCCCTGGCCGGGGTGTGCATCCTGGCCAACGTGCTCGTGCCCCAAGGTGAGCAGGAAGGCTGAACAGGAGCGGCTTGGGTCCCAGTCCCTGCCCACCCCACCACACAATCCACGCGGCCTCCTTCCCCTCCACTGGCCCAAGAGGGTGTGTTTCTGTGGCCATGGCCACTGGGCCTCCGTCTCTGACCATCCCTCCCTCTGGTGCCTGGCTCAGGGGTCCAGAATCCACTTCCGTCTCCCCAAGCTTCAGAGAGGTGAGGTAGATGCCCAGGCCACTCAGGGCCTGGCCCAGGCTTAGGCTTGATGGGCCTGGAAGGGCCTGGAAGACTGCTTCTTCCAACTGAGGCAGTGGGGACACCAAGCAGAGAGCGTGCACAGGTGTGTTGCACATGCATACTTGTACACACGTGATTGCCTATGCACAGGCATGCTCCGGTGTGTGCTGCATGCAGTGTGTGTATTGTGCACACATGTGTGCTTGTGTGCACCTGTGCCTGTGTGTGCACACGCGCATGGCAGGTGCTGAGATGGGGCCCGGCCTTGTGTTTGCTAAGCTCATCTCCGCTCACTGACGGCCCAGGCCCATGGCAGGCAGAGACCCAAGCCCGGCTTCTTAGCAGGGACTCAGGCCACCCACCTCTGCCTGGCCTCCCCCATACCCCTACTGCCGCCACCTTGCCTTGTACCTGCTCTCCTCCTGGACTTGGGCTTGGGTGGCCTGGCACCGGGTCAGCCCTGCCCAGGGCTCGGGTGGGGGGGACCTGTCTCCCCTCCCCAATACACACAGCTCCTGAAGGTGATCTGCCCCTGGGGGGCCTCTCAGGAGACCCCACTCGTCCCGTCTCTGCCCAGATCTGCAGGCCCTGCGCGTGGCGCTGGCTGTGCTGGGGAAAGGCTGCTTTGCGATCACCCTGACCAGCATCACTGTCTATGGGACAGAGCTCTTCCCGACCTCGCTGCGGTAGGCTGGGGTGGGTCCCAGACAGGACACCCTGGCAGGAGGTGGGCAGGCCCTGGGGGAGAGGGAGACCAGGCCTGGGGGCAAACCTGTGGGGCAGGCCCAGGGAGGGGGCAGGTGGGGGAGCAAGCCTGGGGGAGGGCAGGCCCAGGGGGTGGGCAGGCTGGGGATGGGGGTAGCCTGGAGGGGGTCAGGCCCTGGGGGAGGAACAGGCCTGGGGGTGAGGCAGACCCTGGGGGAGGGGGGGGACAGGTAGGAGGAGGGGCAGGTCTTGGGGGACAGAGAGGATGGGGGACAGGCGGGAGAGGGGTGCAGGCTGGGGGGGCAAGTGAGGGGGGCAGGGCAGGCCTGAGGAGGGGGCCAGGCGTGGGGGGGGGCTAGGCCCGGTATTTATGCCTCAGGGCATCCAGGCTTCAGTGCTTTGTTTTGTTTTGGCTGAGTCTCAGAATGTAACCTCGAACTCAGAATCCTCCCGCCTCCGGCTCTCCTGGGCTGGCATTATAGATGTGCACTACAACACCTGACATCTTAGGCTTGAGTTTTGAAATTCTTTGGGTCTGGCTAAAATCTTTAAAAACAAAAACCCTCGTAAAGAGATGGAAAGTGGACTCTCACGTTCTCTCTACTGCCCCAAGTACCCCAAGTCTCCTCCTTAGGACGCAACATAATGGAGGACCAGTGGCCTAGAGTCTTAGGACAGTTGAGTAAACTGAGGCTGGAGGTAAAGGGCTGACAGCAAAGAGGAGATTGAGCCCCAGCCTCCAGCCTCTGCCCAGCCTTATCGCTACCATTCCTGCCAGTCATGTCTTCCTCATTTCTCTATTCTTTCACCCACATGTTTTGGCTCTTTATTGGTTTGACTGCTATCATAAGGAAACCGGGGGCTAGAAGCTCCGGCGCTGAGGCCATCCCCAAAAGTCAGGGAGACTCCGGGGGGCCCTGAGTGTGCACTTGAAGGAGGGAAAGGGAAAATCGAGAAGGTGGGCTTCATAGAGGTAGGGGTGTTTTCAGAGACCTGGAGGAAGCCACTAACGCCTCAGCACAGATTCCCATCCCTGCCGCCGCCAACTGTCCTCTTACCACAGGGGCAGCTGTGACGTGGGGCCGGGCCTGCTCTTTCCCCACAGCATGACAGCAAGTGGCTTCCAGCAGTCTCTAGGCCGTGTGGGAGCTATAGCTGGGCCTCTGCTCAGGATGGCCCACCAGACCCTGCCTCTGCTGCCACCGCTCTCCTACGGTACTGTCCCCATTGTCTCCGGCCTGGTCATGCGGCTCTGCCTCCCTGACACCCAGGGACAGCCACTCCCCGACACCGTACAGAACCTGGAGAGCCAGTGAGTAGCCAGTGGGAATCAGGGAGGGGCCTGGAGAGACTGGGAGGGGCCTGGGGAGTTGGGCGGGGTCTAGAGGGGTTGGGAGGGGCCGGGAGGTTATATATACCAGGCACCAGTGGCTCAGCCTTTGAACCAGGATCCTCAGACCTCAGGCTCCTGAGTAGCTAGTATTACAGGCAGGAGCCACTGGCGCCCAGCTTTAGCATCTGTTTGAGACAGAGTCTATTTAGTCCATGCTGACACCAAATTTGCAATCCTCCTGCCTCAGTCTCTGAGTGCTTGATACTGCAGATGTGTGACTGCACACAGAGTCGCATGTTACCAGAACAATCCAGCCCTCCACACAGTGGTATAATTGTCTGTTTCTTGGTCAAGGGAGGTGGGAGACTGATAGCTTCTGTCATTTGCCTAAAGGCACCAGGCTGAGGTGGGCAAGCTGGGACCTAATTCTCCCTTCGCGTAATCCATTCTTGTTGCAGACGACTCTGCTCTTGGTGCTCTCTTAGCTTCTGAGTATTTAGGGAAGGCCAGACTCTAACACTGGACTTAGAGCCCCACAAGCTTTGGTCCCAAGTTGTGCTCACTTCTATTTGTCTTTCTCGATTGTTCTAGGAGACATAGTGCAGCCAGGGACAACAGAAAAGCGGTCATCATTACACAGAGCACCTGGCTCTAGATATTCCGCCACACGGAGCCCCACTGCCCCCTCCCCCCCAACACCCCAGGAAGGAGCTGCCTGGACTCTGGGGTTTGGCGTGGCCCAGCCAGTGGCCACCAGGCTGGAGTGAGATCTGCTGTGACGGGAGGCTGCGTGTCCTCCCTCGCCTCCCCTCGCCCTGCCCCAGCCCTGTAGGAGCCTGGCTCACGTCTCCCCACCTTCCCCCAATCACACCCGCCATGTACAGAGTCTTCCTCTAGAAAACAAGAATGGTTTCGGTGTCCACCTCCCAGGGCCCGAGTTTGAGGCCCGCCAGGCCAGGCCTGCTGTGGGCCCTAGCCGAGGCTCGCAGCTGTGGGCTTCACCATCGCCTGCCCACCCATCACCCATGGGAGATCCTGCCCTGGGCTCTGAGGACCCAGACACTGGACACGCGGCCTGCGGGCGGCGTGCTGGCTGCCGGCGTCTGTGCACAGGGCTGGGAGGTGGGGAGAGGGGGTGGCTCCATGGTGGGGGAGGGGTCGGGTGACACCGGGCTCCTGGGAAGACTTGAGGGGAGGAGACAAGAGGAACGGCTCCCGGGCCCCTCGGTGTGTAGGCCTTCTGCCACGCTCCATGCACCCCCACAGTCCCTCCTACCCCTCCCTTGGGCTGCCCATCACTGTCTGCCGTCCAGACCCCACACAGCCCCGGGGTCCCCACAGGCTTAGGCACCGCCTCTCCCAGTCCCCTGGGAGCCCAGAACCCTCCAGGGGCTCCAGATGCAGCTCACTCACACCCGGACCCTAGCAGGTGCCCCCCGCCCCCCAGCCTCTCCCCACGCAATAAATTTCAGTGATTCAGATCGTATGAGAAGACTGCCGGCTGTCCGGGAATGAAATGAGAACTAGTGATAAGTTTTGCAGAAGCTGAGGGGGGAGAAAGGAAACCACGGCCTTAGAGTCAAGGACTAGGGAGGGGAAGAGGGCTAGAGAAGGAGGAAGGAGGGAACAAGGGAGAAAAGAAGAAGCGGGAGGGAGAAAGAGCAGTACTTCACTTGATTTAGAACTAAGGGATTTCTTGAAGAACACTGACTCAACTAAAGAAGAAACAAACATTTATTGGTCCTAGACCTATTAATGACATTAAACTTACGGTTCAAACGCTCCTCACAGAGAAAACTCCAGGCTTCTGCCAAACATTTAAGAAAAAAATAAATCATAGCAATGCTTCAGCCAGATGTGATGGTACACACCTACAATCCCAGCACTGAGACTGAGGTAGGAAAACAATCTCTGGTCAGCCTGGACTACATAGCAAAACCTGTCTAGAAAGAAAGAAAAGCAGGCTGGGAAGGTGGCTCAGTGGTAGAGCGCTTGCTTTCATGCATGAGGCCCTGGGTTCCATTCCTCAGCACCACATAAGCAGAAAAAGCCAGAGGTGGCGCTGTGGTAGAGCTGAGGGACAGTGTCCAGGCCCAGAGTTCAAGCCCCACAACCGACACACACACACACACACACACACACACACACACACACACACACACAGAGAAAATGAAAGGAAGGAAGGAAGGAAAAGAGCTAGGCGCTGGTGGCTCATGCTTGAAATCCTAGCTACTCAGGAGGCTGCCATCTGATGAATCCAGTTGGAAGCCGGGCTGGGCAGGAAAATCCATTGACTCCTATCTTCAAGCACCCAGCAAAAAAAAAAGGCTGAAAGCGGGGCTGTGGCTCAAGTTGTAGAGTGAAAAAAAGGGAAGGAAGGGAGAGACAACACTAATTCCGTACAACTTCTTCCAGATTATTTACAAAGAGATCACGCCTCCCATCTTATTCTTGACACCAACCCCCCAAAAGAGACAAGAAAACTGGAAACCAATTATTTCTTACAACACAAACACGAAAGATGATGTGGTGCTGGAGATTTAAAAAACAAAAAACCTCATACATGCTAAGCAAGCACTTTACCACTGAGCTATTTTCCAGCCTGAGACAAAAATTCTTTTTTTTTGTTGGTCGTGGGGCTTGAACTCTGGGCCTGGGCGCTGTCTCTCAGCTCTTCAGCTCAAGGCTAGCATTCTACCACTTGAGCCACAGCACCATTTCCAGTTTTCTTGTGGTTAATTGGAGATAAGAGTCTCACAGACTTTTCTGCCTGGGCTGGCTTTGAACCATGATCCTCAGATCTCGGCCTCCTGAGTAGCTAGGATTACAGGCGTGAGCCTCCGGCACCCAGCATGAGACAAAAATTCTTAACAAACATTAAATAAACAACATTGAAAAAAAGGCACCATGAACAGGTGGACTTTATTTCAGGAATGTAGATTTGGTTTAACATTTGAAAATAAAGGTTAATAAACTAATTATTAACAAACTTCAAAAAGAAAGTTCAGTCCGGGTATGGTGGTTCACACCTATAATCCTAGACCTTGAGAGGCATCCCATGTGGAATACATACTGAGTTCAAGGCCAGCCTGGGTTACGAAGCCTGATGTCTAAACAGGAAACGTCATCGTGAGAGATGCGGAAAGAATATTTTACAAAATATTTTTTAAAAATCAAAACATTCATCCAACTAGGAGTCAAAGGGAATGTCTAGCCGGGGAGGGCCGCTCACGCCTGAAATCCTACCCACTCCAAAGGCAGAGATTGGGAAGATGGGGTTGAAAGCCAGCCCAGGTAAAAAGTTCTTGAAATCCCATCTCACCCAATAGCAGGGCATACATAAAGGACCTGTCAGCTGGACATCCTGGACTTTACTTGTTAAACTGGACTCTCTACCATCATATTTAAGGTGAAAGATGGAATGCTTTCCCTTTAAGACCAGGAATTAGGGGCGGGGGGACACAGGGTGTCTGCTCCCACCCTTCCTATTCCACACTGCTCCTGAGCCATGCCGCAAGCCAGGCATAGAAATAAAGGGGTCTGCAGGCGTGAGGGGTAGGTAGCTCTCGCCTGTGATTCTAGCTGCTCTGGAGGCTGCAATCTGAGGATCGTAGTTTGAAGCCAGCCTGTGTAGACAATTCTAAGAGACTCTAATCTCCCACCAATCAGCAAACAGCCAGAAGTGGAACTGTGGCTCAAGGGGTAGAGCACCCGCCCTGTTTGAAAAGGCTATGAGAGAGCAGGAGACCCGGAGTTCAAGCCCCAGGACAATTTGGAAGACACACAACAGTCTTCGCGATTGTCCCTCCTGAGTAATGGGGACAATGTTACTGGAACTAGTGAGAGACTTCAGTGAGGCTGCAGGGTGTACAGTGCGTGTAGGAAATGGATGCAATTTCTGTGGACTTGTAACTACAGGGGACAAAACCCTTCAATGCAGATGTGTAATTCAAGCTGGAAAAAAGCGACCTGGAGATAGAGTTGTTCCAGGATCGTTAGTTGCAAAGATTATGCAAAAGCAAGGCAAGCCCCATGAAATATAAACTAGTATATTGCAAAAGGGAAATAAAGATGGCCTAAAAAATTGGAGACGCAGATGTTCTGTGGTGAGAGATTGAAAATCTCAGTATTACCAGAACTCCAATTCACAAGTGAATCCATAAATCCAATGAAATCCCAACCAAAATGCCAGCAGATTATTACTTTGTATGAATTAACAAGTGCATCCTAATACAAGAAAATGCAACCAACATTGCCTTAGAGGAGCTACAGAACTTCAAAAAAGAAGAAAGGAGGAGGAGGAAGAGAACAAGAAGGAGCAGGAGGAGGAGGAAGAGGAGGAAGAAAGAAGAGGAAGGAAGGAAAGGATGGAGGGAGGAAGGAGGGAAGATAAGAAGGAAAGAAAGAAGGAAGGAAGGAAGGAAGGAGGGAGGGAGGAGGGAGGGAGGGAGGGAGGGAGGGAGGGAGGAGGAGGAGGAGGAGGAGGAATCAAAGAATGCAGCACTTTGCCCAGCAGCACTCCAGCACTGATGGTGTTTAATTTGGTGATGTGGAGACTCAGAAATAGAGCCCTGCCTGCCTGTGTGGTGCATTGATTCTCAAAGTGCCAGATAATTCAATGGGGAAAGCATAAATTTTGCAACTAATGATCCTGGAAAAATTGGATTGCAAAGCACAAGGGGGGGCCCTCAAATCTAACTCATACCACATCCAAAAAGTGACCTTACTCATACTATAGATCCAAGCGTAAGAGGTAGAATTATAATCGTTTTTAAAAGAAAATTGGAGAATGTCTTAGTAGTTTGTTTGGCAAAGGTGTGTGTGTGTGTGTGTGTGTGTGTGTGTGTGTGTGTGTGTGTGTGTGTGTGTGTGCGCGCGCGCGCATGTCAACATTGGGGCTTGAACTCAAGGTGGGCTATGTCCCTTAGCTTTTTCACTCAAGACTGGTGCTGTACCACTTGAGCCACAGCTCCACTTCC